GAACGTTTAAGTGCGGTTTCTCTATTGGGCTCAGAACTGGGCACAGGACCCATGACAGTTAAGCCTAGCGTGGTCCCTAAACCGATAGGACCGTCTTGAGTCGGCGCGACCCTAAGACCAGTAAGCAAAAATGGAAAAATGTCTGCTCCTAGTAAACAATCGCAATAATCGCTTTCTGTGAACAGCGGGTCTGCTAAATCATAAGAAGTGAAGATTTCGCGGATTTCGTGCGGAATAGAAACAGGAGGAATTTTTCCTGTTAAGCGGTTTACTACTATAAGGCGCGCATTTGCAAAAGCGAGATTTTCTTTTGAATCTAGAATGTCAACGGTAACTACTCCATCAACAGACACGGGTGATTCGGCGATTCCAGTAACATCTGGGGCGCCGTGATTGGGCTTTAAATGAAGAAGTTGAGCCACCCTACGCGTCAGAAACGAGCTCATAGCGCCTGAGTCAAAAATCAACCTAACCGGGATTTTATAACCCTCTGCGCTGCGCAAAATAACACGCGCTGTGGGAAGAATACTATAGGCGGGAGCAGGTGTGGAATTCGACGCGAGGGCCGCAGACAAAACGGCACCGTCTGATAGCGGGTTTATTTGAGTAGCTTCCTGAGTGACGTCATCAGCGAGGTGCGCGGATGGAACCGCGTTATCATGAGAGATCGGGATGTGCGCTGTAAGAGCTTCTGGATGCGGAGGTGGAACAAGCGGGGGGCGGGAGGTCGCCGCGTTGACGAGCGTCGCGGGCGCGAGCTTGTTTTCCTCAAAATGTAACGAAGAATGGTGGCGACCATTGCATACCGAACAATTTCTAGGCGAACGGCAGGCAGACACAAAATGCGGTGATAAGCAGTTGTAACAAAGACCTTTCTTTTTTACGCCTTCAGCGCGATCGTGGGCATCAAGCTGTAGATAAGTATCGCATCCGTAGATCACGTGATCATTCGCGTTACACCATTTACACTTGTTATTGGAGTATTTGGTCGGCGAAGACGACGAACTTGCAGGAGCGTCGGCGTGTGACGGTCCAAAGTTCGGCCCGGTGTCCGCGGCTGAGACTCGCCGCGTGGGCTGATACCCGCGACGTTGCGCTATCTGCTCATAAGAACTCCGATTTTTAGATGCAGTATGCGACAAAAAATTGCGACTCGAGTACGATGAGCGTTTTACATTCGCGGTTGAGGGTAAGTCTGAATCACCAACAAGCGTGCATTCAGCCTTAATAAAACTAATGATTTCAGAAAGCGTTGGGTACGTTGTAGGGTGATCGCGCGCGTCATCTAGGCGTCTCCGATAAAAATTGTTAAATTTTAGTAGAATTACTGCAACCAAAAAATTTCCGTAAGACTCGGTTTTATGCTTAAGCGCAGTGAGGCCATGAATATGTTCACGCAATTTAGCGAGTAACTGAGACATCTGGGTGTCGTTGCTTACCATAGGTAGTTCTAACAAACCATGATAATGCCTTAAAATGCAATGCTTTTCACGCTGATAGCGATCTTTTAACATATCATAAGCAACCTTATAATTTTCATCGGTAATGTCCATGGTTCCGATCATGGAAAGCGGCTCCCCTGTTAAGAAGGACAAAAGCCGTTGAAATTTTACAACATTTGAACTAGTGGAATTATGAACCGCAGCGTTATACAAATTGTAAAATGTTGGCCATTTATCTACCGTACCGTCAAAAGTCGGAACTTTGAGCGGACCTAAACGTACATGCTCTAATGTGGTAGCGACGGACTGAGCGGGGGGCGGGGCGGCAGGAGCTCCGCCAGGTTCTGAGACAGGAGCTTTCATGTAACGCAAAAAATTGCTTAAAGCGCAATCAACCAAATCGTCAAACTTGTCCTGCATTTTGACCGTCGGGATTTGATTATCCTCACTTAAACGCGTATTCAATTCTAGAATTTCGTCTTGGCATGCATCAAAATCTTCTTGTAATTTTTTGACGCGTTCGCGAGTGTCAGCGTACATGTGACAATTAGCGAGTGTTACATCCGCTGAANCTGAGACAGGAGCTTTCATGTAACGCAAAAAATTGCTTAAAGCGCAATCAACCAAATCGTCAAACTTGTCCTGCATTTTGACCGTCGGGATTTGACTATCCTCACTTAAACGCGTATTCAATTCTAGAATTTCGTCTTGGCATGCATCAAATCTTCTTGTAATTTTTTGACCCGTTCGCGAGTGTCAGCGTACATGTGACAATTAGCGAGTGTTACATCCGCTGAAGCAGTCTGGATTTTTTCGACGCAATTGTAAATTCGCGCGCGTTTTTGTTCAAGGAACTCCTTTTGACGCGTGAGTTCGTCGGCGTCTGCCATTTTGTATTTTCTTGATTAGCTAAACGCGGTGACTTAATTGGATAGAAAAAAGAGCGAACAACTAAACGCGGTGACTTAAGCGGATAGAAAAAAGAGCGAATTCAAGCTCGTGCCAATAATATAAAAAAAAATGCAAAAAAAGAAGCGCTACGCACAAAAAAAACTCAAAAGCACTAGACACTGTAACACTACGAAAATATGTCAGCAAGAAGCAGTCAACTAAGTCAAAATCTACTCTAAAGCATTCTACTAAAAGCATTGAGAACAAAGTCAGAAGCTGCAGTTTTGCATGAATTGCAATTTTACATCGTGAGTGTTCACGCCAATAACTGGCGTTCCTTATCTTTTCTTGTTTGACGCTTTTTGTTGAACAGCGTTGAAAACAGTGACGTCACTCTCTACTAACCGTTCAGTACTCCGTTTGATCAATCGACTCTTTGTTCGTCACCCGCGATGACGCAAAACGGAGAGTATATCAGACATTGGACCCCGGTGACGTAGATTAGATTCACCCAGAGTAAGTCAGACGTCGCCGCCAGTGATTCAACCAAGCCGGCCCATGAGTCAGCGCCCCAAGCGGCGCGCCAACGAGGCATTATTCAAAATTTAACCCTATCCGCCCACGTAATTGGTCAGGTCACCTGACGTAATAGTCACGTCACTAGAGCTTTTTGGCGCGGATTCTAGGAACCCTCTCTCCTCTCTGGTTGTCTCTCTCTAGCTCCCTCGGTCTTCCTTTTCTGACTCTCTGACTGATTTTTTTTTTTTCTCATTCTTCTGTGCGAACTTCGTGTTACTCACGCGTCCTCCGGTAAGGTCTCCGAATTTGCTCAATTTTCCTCGGTTTTTCTGAGTGATCCGTTCAGATTTTTCATTCTGTTTTCTCCGTGAACCTCCGTTTAAAGACCGGCATCGAAAATTACCCGGTTTTTCGCTCAAAATCCGCGATTTTCGGTCGAACTTAGATCCCTGACAGCGTGCCCGCATCCTTCACGGTGAAGGAATTTATCCATCTTCATCCTCGCTAATTTCGGCGATTCGCATCGATCTTTTTCGCGATTCTCTTACGCGATCGTCAAATAGTATTTCGGAAGGTCGGATTTCGAAAATCACTTTCATTCAATCGTTCGAGATGGTTTCCTTCGCTGAGATGACGGAATCCGCCACCATGAGCTAAGCTGTTCCTCTTCGGGCCGCCATCGCCGCAGGAGCTTCCAGAGATGTCCCGCCGCAACCGCTTCCGAATCAACCAGAGAGGGTTTTCACTCAACCAATTTGGTGAGTTCGTTCCAAATTTTCCCCCATAATGTGTTAGGAAATGTTAGGTTGAGCGCCCCCCCCCCTCTGTGCCTCCTCGTGGTAGGTGCAGGGATCGTTCCGAAGACCAAGTTCTTTGCAGGTATTGACCAGGTTCTCTGATGTCCATTGACGATGTCAGCAACTCGAGTACCCTGAGAAAACGCCGGAGAAGTGAATTTTCTAGATTTTCCCTGAGAGAGCACATGGTGGCCTAAAACCACCTAAGTGGCCTTCAGCCTAAATCACCTCGTGATTTACCTCTTCAATTTCAGCAAGTTGCTCTTGTTCTTGTGAGGTGCCCTTAAGGCCCTCAATTCCTTCTTAAGTCACCTTAATCAAAGGCGAGCCCGTCTAACGAGATTCG